CAATTACTTATCCAGACCTTGGCGTGACAATCTGGGTGGATTTCTTCGTAATAATATAAACTGGGGCAGTTTGTAACGACGTCTGCTTAGGTTTTACTACAAGCTAACCAAGAGCAAAATTCCCTAGGCCAAAAAATTTTGTAAAAAAAAAAACATTTTTTTTTTGGTCTAAAGGGACTAAGGGAGTCGTGGATCTGTGTCCTTATCTAAAAGGAAGCATAAAAGGCTATAGTCAAAAGAGCAATCAAAAGGTTGAGGAAGACATAGGAAGCCACATGCCCTCAAATATAAACAATTAGTGGGACACTATCGCTCACTAAACCATTTCATCAGCAGTTCTAACAGGACACTCATAACTTTTTCCGTATTGATTAAAGTTTCACATGCCTAATTGGCATTGGGAACACCATAAGCTAATCATATAATCAAACGGGTCAACCCCTTTTTATGTCCCTATCATACCAGAATTCTATAGTGTTTGCCACTTGTTCCTCTTAATGGTCTGTCCCGAATTATGAAAAGCATAAATGGTGGTAACAAAAACAAATTGAAAAATTGAGGACAAGGAGAGCATATTCAATGCATAAGTAGTTGAGTTTTAATGAAAAACAGTCATCATCTTTTAGTCTTATGACCTAGACAAAATCTGGGACTCTTGACTGATCCACTATAAAAATTACGTATTCGAGAATTGAATAAAAACAGTGACTAGAAAGCAATCTTGAGGTCATTTCCCTAATAGACCAAAAAAGTGTCATATCAGAAGATAATTATGAAAAATAAGGGATTTTATTTGTTTATTTTCTTTTATTATGGTGATGGATGGAGCGGTCTCTGGAAAGTAGTAGTAACAAAGTTTGAATTGAAAATGATGCTGGATTATGCCTTCCTTGTATTAAAGGTATGCCACAAGAAGTTTAGAATTTGAATTACATGAATAGTCGGTCAAGCCTCATATGAAAAGATGTGATCCACTTGGTATTTAAGTACTTCAAGTTTATTACTAATAAAGTGCTAAAACTTATTAGTACTGCTAGTATTTGTTGGATGGCAGCTCCTTAACATGCATGAATTTATTTGGATCCCTTTTCTTGAAAAGTAAACACAAAAGTATGGAAAATGTCAAGTGAAGTGGGGGCCTCCTTCTTCCATCCCTAAGTTCCATCCTGACAAGAGAAACTTGTTTTGGTCAGATTGGAATTTTGCACATTCTCCCAAACATGAACATGCACACACTTTTGTTGTAAGATACTTAAGGTCACCCGGAATTTGGGGAAAAAGATTATGACATTCTAAGGACTAAGGACTCTCTGGGAGCCTTTGGACTTTGACGAGACTGAGGGGAAGGGATCAAGGGATTTTGTTTGTCTTTGACCGGCTCAGAATTGAATTCTTATTTCTTTCCAAAGGAAAACTGAGCCCTCAACAAGGCTCCTTGAAGGGTTTTTCTTGTTCCTTTTTCTACTGCTTAATCACAACATTACTACTACAATCCTGCAGCTGCAAGTAGCCAGGGGAATATCAGGGATATTGTTGCTCAGTTGTTGGGATGGGTTGAGACATGGTGTCTCATATTTCAACGTGGTACAGATATACAGACAGTGGAGAAGCCTCATGTGACCATAAAGACTGTTAGTGTTAGATGAACGTAAACAGCTAATTACACTTCTATCATGAGAGCTATTGTGTAAATTTCACAGTAAGACACAGGTAAACTTGAAAGATTAGGACTGTGCATATTTCACCTCGGGCATTGTATGGTGACGCATGAAATTTGGCTATTTATCCTTCACCGTTTATCTCCAAGAAGGGGGCAGCTCAATAGATCTAGCAAAACTTGATTGGATTGAATTTTGAACTAACCAATAAGCTAGCCAGTTCGTATAACTTTCAAGTTTCGCCCCCTCAAGATGAAAATGCAGAATATGAAGGTGTCCAACGAGTAGCCAATAGCCACTTGCAAATTCAATGAGGCGTGTCACTTCCCTCCCCTGCAACTTGTCCCAATTATTAGTTAAGACTTCAAGGCCTCGAGGCTTCAAGCATGTACTTTTCTCGTACCATTATCGTGGGGTGGGGTGGGGATGGGAGGCAAGAATCTGCAAATTCACTCATCTGACTCTTATCGGATTTTGCGTGAGGAAGAGAAGATAGCTAGTCCATGAATAGCCAACCCACTCATGGTTCAAAGCCGTGGTCGCGGTCACGGTCGCGGCCCGGAACGTTCCACATCGGTTTCGGCATATCGGTCGCGGTCTTGGTGAGATGCAAATTTTAAAGTATTTAATATTCTAAAAATTATTAATAATATAAAAAAAGTATGCTAAACAAAAATAATAAAAAATAGCAAAAAAAATGGCCAAGTCAATCCGTCACGGTGTAACTCGACCGATTTCTCGTCTTGACTCGGGATAACTCGGAGTGACTCGGTGTGACTCGGCCGAGTCAATCCGTCGCGGTGACGTCTCGGCCGATTTCTCGGCGAGTCAAGTATTTCGGTATCGTTTCGTCACGGTATCGTATCGGTAGGAGCCGAGACCGAGACGACTCGGCCGAGACTTCGAACCATGAACCCACTTGAGACTCCATGTCAATTGGTATTACTGTAGCATTTGCAGCCTGAGTTCTTTCTTTCCTGATTTCCGGTTTCCATCCTTTTGGTCCCCTATTTAACTGGAGAAACTACGACTACAAGTTCTTTTTAAAAATTTTTTTTTTTCTAACAAAGAAAGAGTGAAATTTAAGAAGTTGGAGGAGAAAGGGGTTTAATTTTTGGAATGCCTACAAGTTCTTTTGGTCCCCTATTTTTTGTAATTATGTATATATATATACATATAAAATAAATGTGCATTTGAATGAAGGAAAGCACACTCAAGATCGAACGACGACTAAAGAATTTCCAACAAGTCTAATCAACATATACTAAGAATTTTCTTGTTTGGATTGCTTATTTCTGTCAGAAAATATTGTCATTTTCCGTGATCACATTTCACCTTTTTCCCTCACATATATCAAATCGCTACAGTAATTTTTCCATGAAAAATGATGGAAAATGCAATCCAAACACAAACATTTCCATAGGAACCATGAGAGCTCATCTGTTGGCCAATTGCAAGTCTGCAACAGGTGCAAATAGTTCCGCTCAATCCCTTCCAATTTTCTCTCTGGCAAGGAAGATAACAAAAAATATCTGCCCAAGATTTGAGGTACGGTGAAATCACGTACGGAAGATCAAAATAATTAAGTCCGAGGAAACACACATCCGGATTGTATTACCAACCGTTCGTCGAACAGGAAGGAAGAAGCCAGCTAACTGTTGACTGCCACACAAGAGATGGGCATGGTGACGTGACACTCGATACTGTTGCCAAGTAATCAAGGGGGCCCACCCAAGCAGACGTGTCGGCTCCTTGGGATTCCACGTCGGCAAGGAAGGACCTGCAAAATACTGTACATAGAGAGAAGGAAACGAAAAGAAAGATTGCGTTGCAGAATGCAGGGTTGACAGAGTTAAATGCATGTGTATTTGTCGAGGGTTTGTGTACTTGGCTACGTGCCCTTGACAACTGAATCAAGAGGGTTGAAGAAGCAGTAAAGATTTGTTGAGGGTTTTTGTTGTACTTGTAGTTGGGTACGTGCCGAGAGAATTGAATCACAGAACTTAAAAGGAGGCATGAAGAAGCAGTAAAGATTTTGTGATGGTGAATGAATCTTCATTCATTCTTTTCAAGTGTAGGTGAAAAGTCTTCATGGGAAACGAAGTGGTACTGAAGGAATTATTGTCAACTTTCTTCTTCTCTTCTGATCTTTTTGGATCAGATTGTCAATGAGCATTTTGCTTTTCAGAAATATGATGGGGTTTTTTTTTTTTTTTAATGCTATAGGAGCATTTAGGATTTAACTTCATATTTCTCAGTTTGCTAATTCAGAGGATAACAACACAATATTTCGGCGCTCACTCTAAACTTCAATGCTGATCCCTCCAATCCATGCATATTTAACATAGAACTTCTCTATTAAATGCAATATATACTTGAAGAATGATATCTTAAATGAACATTATGCATACCCTCTACGTTCCTGTTCGGATAGAGTATTATTTGAAATATTATTTAGAATAATTATCGTAGTATTTTTTTTGTGATATGATGTATGTGAGATAAAAAGGTGATTGAGAATATAAAAAGGTGAATTAGGAAATGTGTTTATGATACAAACGAAATATTATTTGACAAAATTGAGCTATCCAAACACAAATGTTTCAAATACAAGGAGAGTACCAAGATGACATAGGTAGAGCTATGGAGTCGGGAATGGCATTAGTTTTCAGGTCATTACGAATTAATAATGGGCTAACTAGTTCTTTGTATGACTTCAGGTCATTCTCGTTTTCCCGTGAATTAGTAGCCGCGCGAGCTGAACATAATAATAATATCAACTGTTTTTGACCAAAAAAGAGTGGGATATGAAAGCAAGAATTAACACAGTATCCGTCTTTAATTTTCAAGGACCACATTATCTTATTTTAGATATTCAGGACTCATATAAAATTCTGGAGGTATTTCAAGGAGAATTTTGAACAATTTGAAGCATTTTCACTTTGGTAGGAAAGCTGAATTGCACACGACACTGTAGTTCTTGGGGCGGCTGGATTTCCATCCCTACCGAAGCATGAAATTGTAGCTGCATAATTCTTGAGGCTGGGAACTTTCATAATTCATGCGGCCAATGCTTGTTGCTTCTCTTCTTTTCTTTCATTGGGCCTGTTGTTTCTTTGCTCAAATGAAATTTAGATGCTTCCCCATTCTTTGGTATCTCCATTCCAAGTCTACTTCGATCACAAAGTCATTCAGCTCAAGAACACAAATCGAAAGGATAATATTCATCTCCCCTTTCTTATGCATCAATACTCCTTGTTACCCAAAAAAAAAAAAAAGACAAAAATGATGACAGTCAGCCATAGATATACCACTAAATACTTGACAAAACACAAGCTGAAATGAGAGGAAGAAGAGTGCTTAATTATCATTGTTACAACAGGTATCTAGTGTGACCGATATATTGTAAATTGTTTGGAGTTACTTCAGCAGATCTTCTGAACAATTTCTAATTATCTAAGGCCAAGGTGGTGATCAAGTCAGAAAAGATGACTCGTTTAAATTATTAGAGTAAGCTGGATTATATCCAGCTGAACACGACAAACAATACAAGGAGAGACCGGCAAATCGAAATCCAGACTGGATTTTAAGTGCCAAACACTACATTTACAACATTGACGACTTCTCAATCTGGCCAGACCTGAATGCGAAGCTCAGAAATGAACCAAGCAATCTAGCACGAACCATGATCCACTCTTACAATGGCTTAAAAGGCGACGTCATCAAGCTCCCTGGTAATAAAAGCATGTGCAGCAAAATCTGCCTCCGCATCAGCATACCTTTTTGTGTAAAACTCTTAAGTACATTGTAGGTTTGAATCTGTAATTTACAACTACATGATGATTCTGCATATCCAAAGATTCAACTCATCAACCATTGAATACAACAATTTAAGGAACTCAAAAGCCAACTGCTTCATTGTCTATACCACTAATATGAATGTAATCCTGCTTCTATTCGTACATGGGCAGCCACAGAAAGCATCACCTCGAGAGTGAACTTTAGCTGTCTCACACAAATTGATAAAAGAATCAATGAGTACTGCTTTCATATTCCTCCAATCAACCATTAAAGGGAAAAGCATTAAACAGCGTGAGCTTACTATTGCCCGAAGCTACAGATGATGGCACTATTTTACAAGTGCCCCAGATTTACCTGCGACTATTCCCGGCATTTCCTAGCAATGATACAGCTTGAGTGGACGATATCAACAAAGATCATTTAACTGAATCTTCCGCCCACTTCCTCACACTTGAGGGACCAGCATTGTCAGGAGCATCGTGCCATACCAACTCCATCTGGAAGGATAGAGGAAAATATATACTTGTAAATACTTTGTTATGAAATCAAGTATGAAGAACATTTACAGATGAGGTTTATCCTCTCAATGCACTTCAACTGAATCTTATAAAAATTGAAGAAGAAAACTATAGAAATAAAAAACATGCTAAAGATGAGAAGGAAAAAGAAAAAATAATTTCAACTTACATCCCCAACAAAAACAGTGTGACCTTCCTTCACACCAAGTCTGATGAGAGACTTATTCACACCACATGCCTCCAGAACATGTTGAAACCTTTTCGCAGAATCTATGTATCTGCAAAAGGAACAAATTGATTAATATCAAACAGCATTTTGGATGAAAACCATTATCTTGAATTATACATATCATGGCTAATGTGTATAGTAGATTCAAGACATAGCATGGGGACAGGAACTTTAGCATGCCAACACAGAAGCACGTACTTAAATGGTTAGACAAAGACATATAAAGCATTATGACATGGTAGATGTAGGTTCCTTCTATCTGACTATGTGTCCTGAGGGGAGGTGGATGCCCTTGATCTGTCCAGCATGATAGTTCCAACAAAGTTTTTTTTTTGTTGTTTTGGGGGGGGGGGGGGGGTGTTGGCAAACACAATGACTTGACAGTAATGACCAACAAGCTTGGTACCTCCAGTTTGTCATTTGGACAAAGCGTTGTAAACCTGATCCTGTAACATGCCATGTATTGCTATCACTATCATGGGAGATCTCAAATTCATTTATTGGAGCAGTTTGCTGCTTTTGCACCATATCAGCCACATGGTTTAAATTTACCGAACCAGTTGCACCTGAATTAGAAGGTCTAGTGGTTAGAGCATATAAAATTGCAGTGACAATCAAAAGTGTAAATTTACACAACAGGGAAACAAGAGTTCAAGGGGCAGGTTGGGCAAGCACCAATTAAGATTCTAGCAATTACTCAGAATGAGAACTTAACATGGATTTCTGACCTTCTTTACTGACTTCTCTTACTTCCTTAGCAAGTCTATGAGCAGCACATATCACTTCTTGCGTTCCTTCACTCTTCACTGCACTCATACAAAAAGGTTCAATCTCACAAGAACGTAATTTTTCTCTGAATGATATCCAATTTTCACATGCTTCTGGAAGATCCATCTTATTAAATGCAACTACATAAGGCTTTTCAGCAAGTTCAGGACTGAACATTTCCAACTCTAGACGAACTGCATCAAACTCATACTCTGGTTGCTCCGATGAGCCATCAACCATGTGCACCTAATCCACCAGAGTTATCCCAATCAGTAAATAAGAACATTTTCCTATGCACCAAAATTTAGCTAGACAAAGGTGGAGTTTTGATCTCATAGCATAATAGCAATTCAAAGAACCACCAAAGAAAAAATAGTCCAACAATCAATAACCACCTGGCAGGGAAACTAAAGATTCAAGCAGGAAGCAGACACTATACAACATTTTAATTGATGGGTAGGACAAGTGAAAGAATAAACATTTATGGCCGGCAGTTTAATCTTTGGGGCTACCAGGATTATGTGGGTGTCACTGAAGCCACACAGCCAGGAAATCTTAAGACAGATTGATGGTGGGCCCAATAATACACAGCTTGGACCTACAAATGCTAAACCTAAGTGTGGTTTATAAACAGAGAACACAGAATATGCAATTCAAGGCTCACAAAATAAGTTAAACGTGAAATATATAATGAAAACCAAATGAAGCTACACTCATCAGTTGCTCTTATTACACACAAAAAGTTGTAAGCAGCCTATCATGACTTGCTATTTTTACATGCAAAAGCATGTAAGCTACATAGCATCAGTTGCTATTATTATGTGCAAAGCTTGTAAATAATAATATTTGGGGGTCCCTCCAAACAATTACCAGAACGGAACATCTTTCAGTGTGCCGAAGAAATTCATGGCCTAATCCAAAACCTCGATGTGCACCCTCAAGCAGCCCTGGCAAATCAGCCACTACCATTGTTGCATCATAATCAAATGAAACCACACCCAGATTTGGAAGCAAAGTGGTAAAGGGGTAGTTTGCAACAGCTGGCTGAGCAGCACTAATAACACTGAGAAATGTACTTTTCCCCGCATTTGGAGCTCCTACAATTCCAACATCTGCAACCAACTTTAGCTCTAATTCCAACCACCTGGTCAGGAATATTATTACTTGGAGCAATTAGATAGGTCCACAATGTGTTATCGAAAATAGAGGAAACAAAAACTGTAGTTAACCACTGTGGCCTGTCATCCAATCAAGGACATGGTTCCTGAAAGATTTGCTTTTTTCTTGGTTATCTTTATGGGCATCAGACCAGCTGTGCGCACCGCGAGAGAGAGAGAGAGAAACAGACTTAGATCAAGTCCACCTGTATGAATCATTTTTTCATTTGATCGATGTCATGCACTCCATGGGCTTTTCATTTGCGGCAGTGAGTTTCTTGTAAGCAGTTTTGCTAGAATTTGCATAGAGGCTGACAATGCGTTTGGCTAGTATTCAAGGAGCTATATTCATTTGCTATCCAGATAATGCTTTTGAAAGAATATCTGTTTACATTTTTCTTTGATTTCTCAAATTCTTATATTTTTCCACCTTTTGAAGTTCGTGCACATCTAAAACAGCATAGTCATTGGCTAACACAACCTAGGTTAAACAACCATTCTGAACTCTCCATCAAAGAAACAGAGCAGACATCATATAAGATGCTGACTTAATAGATTAAAATCTTTAGAAATAGCAAAAGAACAATCATATTTTCAGCAGTAAAAGAAACAATTCAAAGAAGGAATCTGAAAGTAAGAAGCACTCACATTTCAGGACCTTTTTCTCCGTTCTCTGCAATCTTAGGCACCTTATTCATCCCAGTTTTAAATGATGCATTCCCTCTCCCACTTCTCCCTCCAGGTAACAACAATGCCCTCTGCCCTGGCTGCAATAGCTCCAATAGCACATCCCCTTGCACTCCACCTTTCCCAGCAGCCTCCTTAACAACTGTCCCAGGTGGGACCTTCACCACCACATCCTCACCCTTTGCTCCATTCTGCTTCCTCCCATGCCCATGCCCTCCCCTTCCTGCCCTAAAATGCACACTCTGCCTAAATGGCAATAAAGAATTCATCGAACCATCCACTTCTACATACACGTTCCCTCCCCTCCCACCATCCCCGCCAGAAGGACCCCCAAGTGGCACAAACTTCTCCCTCCTAAAAGCCACAACTCCATTCCCTCCATCCCCTGCTTTTACATATATTTTCGCCCTATCAAAACACCTCATTACTGCTGGCACCCCTTTTTCTTTCTCTGTCATTCCTTCAAACACATTTTCATCCCCACCATCTCCAAAAACCAATATTTCATCATCCTCATCATCAAAATCATCACCACTTTCGTAATCTGAATCAGAACCCCCCTCATAAAGCTCAAACTTCTCGTAATCAAACCCAAATTTCCCATTTTCATCCTCACTTTTATCATCAAAATCCAATCTTTCTCCAAAACCCTTCTGTTTTTTAGGGGGCTTTAAGTCAGATAACTTCACTTCTCTAATGGGATTGTTCTGAAGGGGAATAGAAAAGTCATCTTTAGGAGGAAGGGAAGTGTAGGTGGTGGCTTCACCGCCACCTTGGACTGCTGAAGACGGGGCTGGAGCATCTTTTATGTTCAGTTTTCTGTTTTGAATAGTTTTTTTCTTGGGGTTTATGGAAATATTTTTCTTGGGGGCAGGTCTGTTTCTTGCTAGTGATTGCGGGCAGAAGCAAAAAGCACTGCTAGAAGATATGGTGGGAGAAACCATTTTTAGTTATTTTTGGGTCAAGAAAATGGAGACAGAAGCTACCTGCGGAGCTTTACTAAGAGAATGAAAATGAAAAATATTTTTGGAGGGATATTTGATGAAGGAGGAGGAGTATATGTCCACGTGGCATTAAATTTTGGGCTCAGATATTTGATGAAAGAAGGCAGCTTCCCTGCCACTATGGGCTAGCCCAAATCCCTAATGATCAGTTGGGTCTCGAATTTCTAAAACTCGTGACAGATAGGGCAGTCTTGTTTTTTATTTTATTTTCTTGATTTGTTGGTCTGTTATCCACTTTGTCGGAGGGAGGGTGGTGTTGCTTGAACATTATTTTCACAACTATTATTCAAATAAATGCCAAAATTTGGCCTTCCAAGTCCAAGTGCAAAGTAGTTTTATCATTTTAAAAAGAAATTTTTTTTTTGTAGAAATAAAAGAATTCTAACTGTGACAATACCATTTGTAATTATGTGATTTAGTCAGGTTTTTTTCCTCTTATATAATGAAGAAATATGAATAGATTAACTGTTGACGTTTCGAGAAATAATAACAAAAAAAAAAAGTTCTTACGAGCGATCAATTCTTATCATAATCTGGGAATTATTCTCCAATTCCAAGTTTATGTGATTGCATAGTTTTATAATCCCACTGCAACTGCAACTAGGACGGGGTTCGCTTGATTAATCCCATTTATGTCGTGGGAACGTGTAAGGAATAAAGATTGATGAATACTAGTTCTTAGTTTAATTACAACTTTGTTTTCCAGCATGCACAGATTTCTATTCTAGATAACATCAATCTTGTGACTAGACGTGAAGTCCTTTAAATTTGAGAACGGAGTGTGAAAATTTGAATGCTGATCAGCAATATTTTGCGAAAACGGACGATGAAGAAGCAAATAACTTGCCGAAAATTTCAGAAAATAAAGGGAATGTAGCGTGGTCGTAAAAGATAGTAGTCAGATGAAAAGGATAAGTTTCAAGAACTTGAAAAGATCTTCCTAGCTTAGAAGAAGATTATTAGGAAATAAATTAAGAACGGCGTGGTCCTTTTTAACAACTTGCAGCTCAAGGAATTTCAACTGATCCATCACTGATCACTAATAATGGGATTCTGAAGTTATTCTGCTGTTGATGGTGACAAAAACATGTTGAAGATTCAAGAGGCAAGAAAAGGAATGTTACTATTTTGGTGCCAAAGAGCAGAACACTGGCACAAAAGGCTGGCTAACCTATTTAATAAGTAACTTTCATAAATATCAAATGGAGATTGTTGTGCTCATGCAATAACAATAATAATACTAACAAAACAAAACAAAAAAATTTCTTGCACTGAACAAAACTGTGGCTTCAATGTGGCCACAGCTTCTCCATAGAACAATGGGCTAACGAACGATACCATTTTTCTCTTATCTAGGCTTCCGGCCAATAACTTGACATCCAATGGCCAAGATCAAGATAAAGGGGACCTTAGATGAAATGACGAGATCAAGAAATGGAAGATTAGATCATCTTAGAATATATTGTTAGCAAGTAAAAGAAAGCGTGGTCCGTTTACAACTTGTGTCTCAACTCAAGTAGTACTAATTTCAACTCCATCACTGAGCATGGGCTTCTGAAATTATTCTGCTGTTGCCGACAGCTAGCAACAAGATCATCTTGAACGTTCAAGAGACAAAAGGGAAAAAAAAAAAAAAAGATATGTAATGTAAAGTGCTTCTCTTTCGACAAGAAAAGAATTTTCGATTCAAGGGACAAGAACATCTTGAAGATTCAAGAGACCAAAATTGTGCCTTTTTCGATTAAGTTAGCAGAATTTTAGCTCATATATACCACGGGAAAAAACAGTTAGTAGAATTTTATGCACTAGCTAGAAGAAAATGGACGAGAAAAACAATTAATTGCCTGATGGTATTCCCCGGCCGGCATGCAGTTCGTTCCATAGGTTAATTAGCCATGAGTTAAGTCTAGCTTGGGGGGCTAGTTGTTAGACTGAATTAAGTACTTCGGCATCAATGTGGCCAGATTTTCTCCACGGACAAATGAGCTCCCGAATGTTATTTCTTTCTTTCTTTTTTGCCAAGATAGGTTGCTGGCCAGTGATTCCTTATCCCATTCCCAACTAAGTTATAGAATCAACCAAAAAAAAAAAAAGTAAGTTAAACAATCAATAACTTGATGCAGGGATGGGTTTGTTGTTTGAATTTGGACCTTTTTTTTCAAGTCACAAGCAAATTAATTGGGTGGTTTGGTTTGTAAAATATATCAGTACCTCGTCATCCAGTCCAGGGATGGCTCTTCCGAAGATCATGCAAAGCCATCAAACCCTCCATACATAGCTTCCTTAATTTGGCTTTCAAACAATAACTTGCCATAACTTGATATAATAATATTTGCAATGTGAAAAATGTACATAAAATCTGGTTGCGATGAGATACAATAATGTGTTAAAAAATTGTTATATTTGTTCAAGAATAGTTCCTGCCTCTCTTCCTAAAGCAGTATCCAAATGCACAAAAGCAGATTAGGACAAGGAATGGAAAATAGTGTGTAACGTTCTACTGATATAGAAACTGAACAATTCAAAGTATGGACTTTGCATGAGCAATGAGTGCTGGGGGATTTAGTTATCTATAAATAGAAGAGAAGCAGGCAGGCATTTTGCGCATCAGGAGCACAAAACAAACTAGTACTAGTCAATGAAGATGATGATGAATCCCCCAATGTTGTCCTTCCTGGGTCTCCTTGGCTTCATCGTGATGCTGTTGGTGACTCCTCCACTAGACGTCTCCGGCAGCGGCATGCTGTACAAAGGCCTAACAATCTCAGCTCTGAACATAACGGGCCGAGTAGCGTGCTCCACATCATCCAACCCTCCGGCCAGCACCCCAGGGATCGGCGGCGTGTTGAATCTTACCTTCACCTGCAATGGGGGTGCCACCAAACTCGGCAGCGTTCTGACTGATCCCGAAGGGTTCTTTGATTTCCTTGCAACCTTCATCGATGGCCTTGTCACCGACGATACAACGCTGCCTTGCGTGGTCACCGTGCCACTTCCTGCAAATTCCAGCTGTTCAGTTTTTCCTCCAAAAGCAGTCCTAAGAGCTACTCTTCGCATCGTTGGTGTGACTGTTAATGCTCTTCTCGGTTTGGTTTGTATTGTCAACATTGGCGAGTTAACCAGTGCTGCTGCTGTCAACATTTAGTCCAAAATGACCCCATGGACGTGCCTGATGATGAGTGATGACCACCACGTCTTCATTCTTCGATCAACTGATCTTGTTTTGCATCATGTCAGAAACACTATTGTATACTTTAAAATTTCGAATGCTTATTTTGTGTGCATCTCGTCCAGGATGATAAATAACGTATAAATGTTCATTGAATGAAGTTTGTTGAACCAGTTTATATTTATGCGCTTCGTGCAGAATCATATATAATAGTAACATGCAGCTTCATTTCTTCAGTAAGTACCATATATATACCACCAAACACAAAACCAGTTCGCTCAAAACACTAAAACGCTATATATACAAATGCTGCTATTTTCCAGTCCAGAGTTCCTTCGTGTGCCGGATTTTTGGAAGCTGTGGTTGATGACAGTATAAGATTTGTCACTAGCTCATGGTCTGGCTTTCTGAGAACTCAGGAAAATCGGGAACTGGTACTTAGATTGGCATTATCATCTGGTGTAATAGTCTAGGAATTTCCGTATGTATGTAAGAATATGCAATTTCTCAAATCACTAAAAAGTTCACACACAACACACACACACATACACATATATATATGTATGTATGTATGTATATATGCGCACTGTAATTTCACTTGAATTGTGGCGCAGTAGCTAGATCTGTACATGAAAGTTGAAACCCTTTTATTGTAATTTATGAAACTGGTGATAGAGAATTAGAGTTTTAACTTTTAACTAGACTCAAAGTATCTCCACCATGTATCTAGAGTAGCTTCTTTAAGTATGCAACACTATACAGTTGCCTAGGGGACTAGAGTCTTACCAAGAAAAAAGGGAACTTTCGTCATTAGTGTAGAGGATTGCCAATTAATTCCTCCCTCCCCACCAACAAACATGGAAGAAAAATCCCATACAATGTGATTATAGAAGCCTAGATTTTGCGTAACTTAGGTGTTTGATCTCTTCTAAAACTCTTCGAAGGAAGCATATATGAATAAAGGCCAAACACCATACTATTGCCTAGCTATCGCTCTTATATATCTCCCTTCCTAATTCCTTGCATGCAGTATCGCTCTTATAAGACGAGCATGAACGGAGAAACAAGTGATGTTAAAAATCGTGATGATACCAAAAGGATCCGTCGTCAAATCATCAAATGTTCAGAAGAGGCAGTAAGATATCTATGGCAATAAGATATATCATATCATAGAGTAAAAACACAAATTCGAAGGACTGGCAGGATATGTACATCAGCAAACTCGTTCCTCCCAAGCAAAATGAACACAAACTAGTTAGTTCCTAAACAATGTTAGCATCTAAACATAGCGCTAAACACAAAATTCCAGACACAAGCACTTAACAAGCCAAATTTTATCCAAAAATCCTTCCACAGGCCTGTCAACTGCATGGCTGCGAAAGAAAAGACTCCATATATGCCCCAGTGAGCCCAACTGTTTGAACATGTTCGAATGCCCGGTCAATACCTTACAATCCCCTGAAGATGCTGCTCCAGCTGCAGCCATCACCCCATCACCATCTGTTTGTGATAACTCTACAACCATCGAGCAAACTGGATTTACGGACCCCAAGTCCCGGATATACTTCTTCCCCATTTTCTTCAGACCCACATTACCCAAAACATGAACAAGAGAATCAGGAAGACAACCCGGCTGTCACATCCTTCAGCACTGAAAGCGCCAACGCGTTATCAACAGCAATGGACACAGAGTCAAAAGTGGCATTCAGGAATTCTTGACGGCTCTCCCCTTGATGAAATACAGGAACGATGGTCACCCAAAGCGGGTTCTGGTGGAAATAAGCAACCGTCACCAGATTAGTGTAGTCCAGGGCATGAT